CGAGGTGGGGCGTGGCCTTAGGTGCCAGGGCTCTGTGCCCGGTCTGCTGCGGTCACTTCCTGACCCCGCGAGGCGTGGGGGTGGCAGGCCAGTGGTACGTGAGGCCCCATGGAATAGATGATTCGTTCCGACCCTGTCGCCGCCCACAGGACTCGGCGCTACCTTCCGTGGCGGCCCCCACTGCGCACCGCTGCCCTGGTCCCAGCCTCCCGAAGTTGACCTCACGCCGTGGCTTCTGCAGGTGTCTCCTGGATCGCAGGTGCCTGTCCGAGACGGCCCTGAAGCCCATCCAAACCTGCCCGCAAAAAGGTAGATAGGCCGAGGTCCCACACGTGGTCCAAAATCGTGGGCAAGATCCGCCCCTGAAGATTCTAGTACGTATAAAGCACACTCATTCCCTTTCGGTGAAATTTCCCTTTTCGGTGCCTCTGGAAAGCTGGATTCCCACCTCCAGAGAGGGCCTCTAGATCTTCTTTACCAGGCTGCTGCCCACGCTCCTGCTCAGCTCACCTGTGTAGCTGGACTTGTCCCACAGCGGCCGCTCCACCAGGCGCCATTTCTGTGTGCGCTGAGCCAGACACGGCTCCTGCAGGACTGCCTGAAAAGCGCAGGGCCCCAAGGAATTTCCAAACTACCCCATGGTGACCACTGAGTAGCAGGTAAATTAGGGAGAATAGCCGGCGTACGTGAAATAGGTGGGGCACAATCGTGACTCTTATGGGCTGGAAGAATTTAACACCTAAGCTAGCTCCTGACTGATCATAAAAATCATCAGTGGAAGGCTTCCAAGTGTGTTTTATCTCATACGATTCTCTCAACTATCTTGAACGGTAAACACCAATGTCTCTCATTTATACATAACAAAACTGAAGCACAACAGAGGTAAAATTGCTTACCTAAAGTCACACAGCCCAGCCCCCTCTTCTGTGAGTTTCCTAAGAATAATTTTGTTGGTGGTAAGGATGAGAGTAGTCAGAAAGTAATCCTTAACTATTACAGGTTGTTTACAAATCACTGATAAAATGTAGGGTAAAATGTTCAAATTGATATAGTATCAAATCCATGGGCTCTGATACTTAAAGCTTACTTTATGACTTGAGAGCATTTCAATTCCTGTTTTTTCTTAATTAATAAAAAGTTTTGGTGATAACAATCACCAATTTTGCTTAGATGAATTTTAATTCAAAATAAACTATAAAAATGTAAAAGTAAAGTTAAAATTGGTAAGATTGAGATATATATAAATATATAATTAGGACTCTATGGAATTAAGATTGTTCTACTTCCCATAGAAATGTGGATCACTTAAAACCAGCTCTTTTTAACCAAAATCAGACACAACAGTATAAGGAACTAAGGAAACTGAATCCCCAGACCTGGATAATGACCACTCCTAAGTGTTTAAAAGAAAATATCCAATTAAAAATCCAAAGTAGATACTAGGGAGATGGCTTAGTCTGAAAAGAGCTTGCTGTGCACACACCAGGACCTGAGTTAGAACTTGCCAGACTCACCAGGACCTGAGTTTAAGCTCCAGCGCCACCATAAAAAGCCAGGTGTGACAGCCTGTGCCAGTGACCTCATCACAGGGAAAGTGGAGACAGGAGCTCTTGGGCCAGCCAGTCTAGTAGAATCTGTGAACTCTAGGTTCAGTGAGACTTTGTGTCCAAAAATAAGGGGGAAAGTGATTGAGAAAGATGCAGATGTTGACCTCTGACCTCCACACAAACATATACACACGTGTACCACAAACACATGTAAAACTTCAAAAAGAAATGAGAAAAATTCAAGTACAAAAGAGCTCAAAATGATCTTTATTCTTTATTTGTGTCATTTGAAGTTTTCAACCATTTTGTTTCTATTTGAGATCTTCTTATGAAAACAGGCTTCTGACGAAAGAAGCTGTACTGAGGGCTGTGAAATAGCCAATTTTCTGACACAAGCTCTGGTATGCATCCCCAGGGATTATTTGGACTAACAGGTGCTTGAAGGGGTTGATGGTAAATCGGAGTGATTAGGCCATCTCCACTTTCACTTTTAGCAGAAAAAACTCTTTGCCTTGAAAGTATGGCTAAGCCACTCTTTTCACCCGGAGATAACATGTTTTTCCTTGGAATTTGATTTCTTGGACCATTCCATATTTGAGTACTTTGTGCCTTCTGTAGGGCCTTTTCCCCTGCAGACAGGCACAGAATCGGAGTCAGGGTCTTCTTTCCTTTGCCAGGAGCATATTTTGGTTTATCTGAAACTGGAGGAGGTGAAAGCACTGTGCTTTTAGCTCTCTGGAACTTCCTTATATTCATACACATTGCAGTGTTCACAGTGTCAGAGCTCTGAGCGCTTCGGCAGTTTAATTTAGACAAGTTTTCCCATAATAAAGAACCATTCCTAGAACTTTCGGGGTGTAGCTGGCGCATGCCTTGAGACCTGCACCTCCTGCTCCGGAACCTCTGGATTTCCCTTAGAAGGCTGCAAAAGATCAAAATGTGTTAAGTGGCTGTATAGTAATAAATCATCAGAAAGTCTACTTCTTTTTGAGACATGCAACAGAAACTCACTGCAGTATTCCCTGGATTGAAGCATGGGAAGACCCCAGGTAAGTTGCCCTTAAATCAAGTGACCTATACAAATAGCCGACCGCCTCCATCATGGCATGATGGCAGTAGTCACCTGACAACAGTTGGCCTGCTGGATAGATGGAGGGGAAAAGGAATATTAGAATTTTTAATTACCAACTTTATACATTTAAAAGAGATTAAGAGCATTTATAAAGGTGGCATTGGAACACCATCTGTCATAATACCCTGTCAAAAACATTTCACCTGTGTCTTGCATGAAGAAACAGTGTTAGTATTCAGGCATCTATACTGTCCTGCCCGTGGGGTTGTGACAGGATACACCCTCAGCTGCAGCCACTAAGAGCACCACCTGTGCACATTCACTACATTCCCTTTTAAAAGGGCCCTGCCCACCTTCCATATTTCTCTCTCTTTCTTGCCTTCTGTCTGTTCTCTCCTCTCTCTCTCTCTCTCTCTCTCTCTCTCTCTCTCTCTCTCTCTCTCTCCCCCCCCCCCCCCCTCTC